GGAGGTCATAAAAGTTTATGACCCTTCTGGTTGAAACACAGGATAGTTATCACTCTAACACTGGTGTCTATCTGCTTTTGGCCACCCCTCAGTGTACGTTGGTTATTTTTTCCCTGGCCACCCTGATAAAAATTCTCTGGCTACGCCTCTGCATAAACGAAATAGAACAACTCATTTTTGGAAAAGTTTAAATTTGAAAGAAAATATAAAATAAAACACATTTGTTTTTCCTCTTTTTTTGTCTTTACAAATGTAAGAATTTCATTTAAAAATTGGTTTGATTTTATTTTTACTTAAAAAGTATGAGAACACCAACTAACTGTGTTACTAGTACAGTGATCTCTATTGTGTTTCATAAATAATAAATGAAATAAAAAATAACACAGACTAAAAATATTGTATGTCTTTTTTTGTCTGTTGTGTGTTTTTTTTATTTCATTTATTGGATGGGTTGATGGACAAAAAAAAACATACATACATATTTGTCTTACATTTTGATAAGCCACAGCAGTATATGAAATTCATATGGTATGGGATCTAAAAAAAATAATAAATACATAGTGAGAAAAGTAAGTATATAGTGTCTATCTGTAAGTTCTCTGTCATAGAATGGGCAAGTTGAGCTGAGCACAGCAGCCTGTTTTCTGCCTCTCTTCCTACATACGGCCAGATACAGGATTAAAGGACACCATTTTTTTGAGAAGAATAAAACAGCACTTCCGCAATTTCATAGCTCTTACTGGTATATTCTATATCTGGGTTAAATTAGTTTAGGGTTGCATTTTTGTAAATAAGTACTGTGGATTGTGTCCTTATTAGACTACAGAGGAAATATGTAAGAAATATAAACAGTAGCCTAGACTGTGAGAATAATTATGATTGGAACTGAGTCCAATAACTATACTGCACTGTGCAATGAATACTAATGCACAATTGTAAGACAGAGGACATTATGATTTATTGAAAGGAACCAAGAGGAATGTACCATTAAAATATATTTATTGGTTACTCATCCTGGATGGACACTGAGGGACTCCTTGGGGTTCCCCCAGAGGAGCTGGGCCAAGTAGCTGGGGAGAGAGGGACATCTGGGCCTCCCTACTGAAGCTGCTACCCCCCCGACCCGACCCCGGATAAGCGGAAGAAGATGAATGGATGGATGGATAGTTTGAATTTTCTTAATTCATCCAAAAAGCGGAAAGACTTAGACTACCTACCTCAATTATTTCCAGGTGAAATGTATCAGATTTTTATCAATGAAGTTCCCTGAAAATGTATCCAGCTCACTTAGATCTTGAAAGAAATTGATCTAGTATTGATGTTTTCTTAAAAATCCACACCACTGTTCAATCCCTTGGTTGTGATTACTCAAGCCGGTGATGTAACATCTCTCAGAAAACTTGTCTTCGTGCTTACTCCTTAAAAATAGCTGCATCTGATCTCTACCAGATCTGACCTGATACGTGTTGGAGTTCTGCTCATTTTTTCCACTTCATCGATAAAATGCCCAGAAGTAACCCTGGGATAGCTACTTGTGAAGTAAGTGCAGACATAAAACCATAAGTGAAAATCCATCAAAGTGTGTCATATTAATCATGTCATATAAAATTAGGAGCTGGGTTTCTGTATTGACCTCGTCTTTATGATTCTGAAGCCTCAGCTGTATTCCTTTAGGATCTAAGATCATTAGGAGTTTCAGAAAATGTTTATGGGGGAGCAATGTGCACTGCAGGGTGGCAAAAAGCTAATAGGTGGCAGAAACATTTTACTGTCAATCTGTGCTGATTACAATAAACCAACAGGAAAATGAAATCACACAGCATCTATATTTTCCAAATAAATCACAGATTTATTTGGAAATTTCATACTGGCCTTAAGATGGTTTATTACATTTTATTACAGTTTATTACACAGAGGTCCCCTACATGACAGTGTAGACCACCTCCTCACTAGTCAACAGGGCACAAAAGCGCTTGTACTCCCTGCGGAGGATGAGGAGAGCCCACCTGCCCTCACCCATCCTCACCACCTTCTACAGAAGCACCATAGAGAGCGTTCTGACCAGCTGTCTTACTGTGTGGTGTGGAGGCTGCAGTGCCACAGACTGGAAGAATATGAAAACAGCAGTGAGAACAGCAGAGAGGATAATCTGGGCTCCTCTTCCCTTAATAAAAGATATTTTATCCCAGCACTGCGTGTCCCAAGCCCGTAACATCATCAATGACCCCTCACACCCCCACCATGGACTGTTCTCCATGCTGCTCCTTCTGGGAAGAGGCTTTGCAGCATTCCATGCAGGTCCAGCAGATTTTGAAACAGTTTATTCCCCACCATCATCAGACAGCTGAACTGTTGAAAAAAACTCCATATCTTGTTGCAGACTCTGCATCACAATGATAACACCAAACCAAAAAACACTGCATATCTGCACCTTCAGACTTGGAAAACAAAGTGGTTTGTTTTTTAACTTTTTAGGAAGTTGCATAGTGACCTTTTTACATTGCGGTTTTACAGTTTTCGCTTTGGTAATAAAACTAAACAGAAATAAATATAATAAATAAAGAAATATAATATACAGATTCATATTCAACTGTGCAGCATCTTCATAAATACAAAAACAAAAAAGGCTTGCTGGAAAAAAAACAACACAGCTCATAATAGATGTTGGGACCTGTCAAATCTTAAATCTTGGATATTTAACATGTTGGATTGTCTTGAGCTCATGATTTGTTCGATTTTTTGGGCAAGATTTCTCTGATTCTTTTTTTTTTATACTCAAGAGTGGAGTCTCTCAGGTTTTTAAAACCAGTCAACAATTTTAATATCTTATCATGTTGCATTCTTGACTGGAGACATGCACTTTACCAACCAAATATATGGAAAGTACTTTGATACGAATGTATATGAATTTCAAACTAGTATAAGACATGGATGGCTCGATCTGAACTCACATACAGAGACCATGAGTAATTGATATGAGATAAGAATTATGTATTATTGATACCTATGTTCTCTTTGGTTCATTGTTAAAATACATTGTCAATATTACTGTAGCTTGCGCTGTGAAACAACTAACAGGAGAATGTTGTTTCAAATAATCCAAACTCATTGTAGTTTCCATATATGACCATTAGATGGAGTTGTTTTACAAAGAACAAAACCATTTCTAGTATTTAAAAATAATTGCCCTTTACAGTATATCACATAAGAAAAGGACATCCCATTTTTTTTAAATGTAGATATAGGATATATATTTAAATATTGTTTAGACCAGTGCTGAAAATTGTAAAAACAAATATGGTATTTTAATTTTTTTAGCCATATCTTCATTTTTCAAATCATTAAGAAAATGTTGATATCAGATAGGAAAAACCTAAGTTATTATAAAATGTCATTGTCATTGTTTAATTCGCTTGTATTTCAGATAAGTGTATTGCTATTCACAAAATCTTCAACATGCTAAAAATAAGCTGTGTCCTGTGACTGACTCACCTTGTGTTGTTAAATGCTTTGAACTTTATTTACTTCTTTTAAAAAGATACAGGTGGAAACATGCTAGTTTATAATTTTAGTGACAAAGCAACTCAACTGAACAAAATGTTGAAACAGATATAAGAAGTAAGGACTGTCAAAGGTCATGTCACTGAGTTAAGTGCACAAATTACCCGAAACTCAGGTGTTCACACTTTCTAAATTGGCATTTTGCATCTGTGAAATGACAGCATCCTAAGAATCTCCATTAATAATCACTCATTTGGTGTATAGCTAATAAGAAACACAAAGTATGACAGGACATTTCTAAAATAAATCCCATTCTTGATGGTTTGTTGGTCCAGTCACTGGACTTTGTTATGGAAAGCTCTGTGTTTACACCTTTCCCTCCCCGGTTCTTTCCTGAGAAGAGATCACTCTGCACAAAATAACACTCATAATGTACATGTATTAAATAACCATGAGACATGAAAAGAGATTTTGATAGAAATTGTAATCTTACTGAGATCAGACTAGTTGCTTAGGGTTACAGATGGCAGTGTTTACCAACCGGGCTCACATCTCGTGAAGTGGCCCCAAATCATAGTTGGAGAAGCATTTTATACAATCCAAGTATGCCACATCATTACATCATGTAATCATGCGGATGAGGAGACATCCAAGGCTCCAGCCATATCAAAATATCACACTATGTTCTTAGATCAAGGACAAAGCTCTCATTCCATTCCAAAATCTTTGCCACGTACATAATGAAGATGACTTTTTATCCTGACAGAAAAACTGTTCTAATTAGATAAACTACTTGGGAAAACATTAGTTCTGACATGCAACAGGCAGAAATTATTAGGGTTTAACAGATTCACACATCATCAATACAAATAATCCATAAATATTTGGCTGTATTAAACTCTGACTGAAATACGAGGGAATTAAACGCTGTGAGAACTGCATTTCATATTAACTCTGGTTATTCCTATGATTGTAGGTGATGTCATCTGGTTGTTAAGAATATCACTATGGAAAATATGAGAATGGGTAAACATATTAAAGCCCCCTTTGGCCTTGGACCATTTTCTAATGGCTGCAAGGTTTAGGGTCCAGGGACTTCTCCTCTGGATTTTTTTGTTTTTCTAAACTAAGATAGTTTTTTTTCTAAACTACAATAGTTTTCTTTTGCAAATAAGATATTTGGGCCCTGTAATCTTTAACAGAAATATTCTCACCCAAACAGAGACTGCAGAGTTGTTACTTCAATCTAAATCTTTACAATAGATGTTGCATTATTTATTTACTGTACCTTAAATTAAACATATATCATAAAGATATGGTATACATTTTTAATAATTAAAAATAAAAAAGACAAGATAAATAAAAAAATATATATTGTGATATTAGGATAAAGAGAAGCAGTTTATTCATAATCATTATTTTACTACATTAGATAACAAAGGGAATTCAAACTGTACATAAACCCTCTGACTTTTTTGTAGAAAAAGATATAAGCTAACTTTAGATGTTAAGAAAAGAAAAAAAATCATCTTTATACATAAGCCTTAAGATGAAACACAATTCATGTTAAAAGTAATGGATTTAAATATTTACAATGTGTGCTCAAGGTGATAAGACATAGTGAATATTGTGTTATATGATTATGGGAAAAGGCTCGCTTTTCCTGTTGTCTCTCCCCTTGCTGGCAGTTAGGTGTGTCCCATTAGTTACTGACGGTCATAATTGTTGCATGAAACTTCTTCCTTCAGGAAACAGTCTTTGTCCTGTTCATTCAAAGCTTCCATGGTGAAAAGCTATGCTTTGGGTGTTTGTTCTTTCACTTTTTGCCTACAAAGAAAGAAAAAAATTGATTTCGTGAGTAGAAGCTACCTTATTTAGGCTTATCTGAACGTGATATAATTATAATCAAAAAGAAATGTGGATTAAGTATTATAGACAATGTAATGACAGCAACTAATCAGAAATGCTATAACAATAAATAAGTCGTAACCCTGATATGCTTTTCAACTGTATGACTAAGCACGTCTAAGTAACTAACGAATAACTGAAGCTGCCATCCAGCTGAGTCTAAGATGACAAAGCAATCAGATGTTGCAAGATGTTAGTTTATCTGAAGGACAAATGACTTGTCCACTCAGCCCTCTGTCAAAATTCAAGATTTCAGTAAATTGGAGTTTGATAAATCATTTTATTGAGTTAGTTTTACTTTTATCTAAAGTGAAATCTGTACAATTTAAGTTTAAGGGAAAATCTTTACCCAGCAGAAAAAAAAGAAAAGCTTTAATGAGGCGGTTACAGAAATGTTCACACTCCTAAACTACCGTACTTTCCTGACTATAAGCTGTTACCTTCTCCCATTCTTTGAACCATGCAGCTTAAAAGTTAAGCTGTTGATTTTTCTGGACCATCGGTGGGCAGAAGCGAAGTTGAAAATTAAAGAGGAAGGGGCTAATTTTCATTAGCATGCACAACAGAGAACAACTGTCCCGAATTCACACATTTTGACAGTTATTTACTGCATTAAAGCTGTCAAATCAATAAAGGGACTGTGAAACTCATTCAAAGCTGAAATAAAGATCCGATGAAGCTCCATAAACAGTATTTTTCGTCCCTAATCTAGGGTTGATATGTAGAGCTCCCCCTACAGGTTAGGTGGGGTACAGTTCAGTAGATATCGGCGACTTATAGCCCGGTGCAGCATATACAGTATGTACATTTCCAGTTTAAAAAGACAATTAAAATGAGTGGCTTATAGTAGGCTTATAGTGAGGTGCACTCTATAGTCTGGAAAATACAGTAATACTTTAAAGCCAGTTTTAAAGGAACACTCTTTAACTTTTGGCCACTAGGGGCGCTAGACCTATAACGGCCCGTATTTTGCTTCTACTAAACATCTGCCATGGTCCCATTTTCTGATCCACATGCAGAGCACACCGAGGAGACAGGTAAGGCAGATTTAAGATTGTTTATTTAAAAAAAAATAAAGACAACATTTGGAGTTTCTACAGGGTGTCTGGAAACAAAGGGAGCGTGAGGCACTCTGCAACAGAGAGCAAGATTTAATGGGAGTATGTGTACGATGAAAACGACAGCAAAGGCTTACTACGTGAGTGAGCATAAACTTTTTCCTTTCCTCAGCCAAGACCAGTAGTCGAGCAGGCGGGAAAATAGTAGAGCAAAAGCCTTAGCTATATGGCGATGTAAGAGGGATACGTTCCTCCAGGTCACATGACCTGGCCAATGATGGTCCGTCATCTCCCAACTTACATTGTTGGTATTTCAAGATGGGAGCCCCCCTTGTTGCATTGATTGTGTCAATTGCTGTACATTGGCCAGAGGATTCATTTTAAAATTACTCATATGCATCAACTCTTTATATAAAAAATCTGCGATGTGCCTATAAATACATATCTGTGTTCAGTCTAATTTGGAAAGACTAAGCGTGTTGCATTTTGCTGATATTTTCGGACTCTGAAATGCATAAGTTCTCCAAATTTCTAATCATATTTTTTGGTTTAGAAAAACAAGAGCACACTCACCTGGCACGTCTTTTCTTTAGTACTCTTTTGACCCATGTAGCCTCAGGATCGAGGCAAACCTTTTTGTTATTCATCTTAAGTGTTGCACTGCAGGATAGAATACATATCAGAGACGTCACAAATTGCACAATACTCTGGGAGGACTTGTTCTTTTAAAAGTCCATATCTACACAGGTGGTTGCATAAAGGAAAGGACTCACATTATTTGAATTTCAGAGCAGTGGGAACTTGCAGCGTGCACTTCCAACACTGCTATGAAACGGCCAATGGGCTTTTTTTCCTTGGTAATGCAATGACAGCGCAGATTCACCCCCTGTGCGACCACAATGCTACCTGAGGTTTAAAAGTTTACAGACTGTAAATTAGTGCTTTTACATGAGGAAAACACAAATACAGATACAACACACATTAGACAGATACACTCACCTTCGTGTATGATCTGAAGAAGCAGAATGGTCACAATTGTGTTCACAAACATGACTGCAATGAGAACAACTTTAAACGTTTCAGAGGTATTCCCTGTTTTGGTTCTCAGAAATCCAAAGGCAGCAAGAAAAGGCTGACTGTTCCCTCTTAACTGTCAACTGTGTTGCAACTGCTCTGCAAAGACTTTTTATATGTGCCTCTTCTCCTTTAAGAGAAGACCGTTTTTCTTTTTTTAAGGCAGTTCACACGAGAGCAAACTTGGACCACTATCCTTGCGTTCCTTGGAAATACAGTGGGGACACTAATTTTTTTTTTTTTTTACTTAGTGGCTTATCCGCTCTGTTTGTTTTCAAAGATTTTTTTAACATATAAATTTTAACAGTGCAAGAACATGTTTTGTAATTCCATGTGGTTTCCTTTTGCAAATGAAAACATTGACCAATTAATTGTTTTTGCATGTAAGAATATTTGATCATCTGGAACAGATCAGCACAGAAACAGCCTTATCTGTTACCATATTTTTTACCGATCTGTAGCTGTACTGCAGCCTTTTACATACTCTTGATTTAAAAATAAATGTATCCATCTGCTGTCGTCTAAATATTTTCTTTGTTAAACTACCTATGAACCCAAACAATTTTTTTCTGTCCACTGTCTCCTGCATACGTTATATATGTTTATGAACAGTGGTAGGTTGCAACAACCTGGCTTGTCCCGACGTGATAAATGACGCTAAAATGCATGGAATGTCTGCTGCAGGGGAAAGAACAGTGGCCTGAATCCAAGTTGTGGATACATCTAAAGTCAAGGGTTAGTAAAGTCCACATCTTATCTCATTTACTTCTGTTCTCCTGCCATGTGTTAATGAAAAAACTCCCAGAGATTTCCAGGAAACTCCACAAGCTTATTGCTTCTTCTATCCTATTGGTTAACATTCCCTTCCTCGTGTGAATCATTCATGTCAACCCCAGCGCTGCCCCTGCTCCAGATAAGTCTAAGCTATTGTAAACATTCGCCTTTAAACCAACACACAAATGGCAAAACACACTTACAACTTTGCACACACACACAGCCAAACCCCTCCTTCCCCTACACACACTCTTGTCTTTCTATATAGTCAGGATGTGTTAACTCCTATTTTCTACCCTTTCTAGTCTCTAACCCTGACAATTACCCTAAATCTAACTATTACCTTCACTTAATTTGCATCTTAATGAAAAACCTAGCCGTTAGCAAAAAATAAAGCGAGGAACAAAGAAATTTCCCCAGGTTAATACAAATGGTCCTAAATCTGATAATAAAATTAGTTTAAAAAAGTCCTCACTCTGATTCTAAAACAGGGGTAACACCTCCCCACACAAAAGTTTGTATTTGTATCAATCCATAATTGACCTAGATTTATTTTAGTTATTGATTTATGCCTAAACCCAACATTTACCCTATTCCTGACCATTTGCTCTATATTTCTAATCCTACCTTATCATTAATCTAAAGTGCATTCACGCCTTAGTACTAAACCATATTGTGTGGGCAACAGTGTTGTCTGATGTTGGTTTGATCTGCAACCGGAGAGTCACTCCTCAAACCCCAGCTCAGGCATTCTATGTCTTTGTGTCCTTGGGCAAGCACCTGCATTGCCTATTGATGGTGGCCAGAGAACCCGGTGGCTCAGTGGCCCCAAGGTAGCTGTGGCTACCATGTAGCTTGCCATTATCGGAGTGTACATGAATGGGTGAATGATTTAATGTAGTGTACAAAGCTTTGGTCAAGTCTCCTGACTTAAAAAAAGTCCTGTATAAGAACATTACATTCACCATTTTCTGTCCCACTATCCTTGTGAGGACTTTTCATTTGCTTCCATTTGTCTTCCATTCATTTCTATGGCCTAATCCTGACTCTTACCCCAACCATTAGCAAAACATTGCTTACCTAACCTAACCTAACCTAACCTAACCTAACCTAACCTAACCTAACCTAACCTAACCTAACCTAACCTAACCTAACCTAACCTAACCTAACCTAACCTAACCCAACCTAACCTAACCTAACCTCCCCACAGGGTATTTTAAAACATGGCCACACACTCTGAAATACAGAGAGCAAAAAGAAAAATATTTGATGATTCATTGCTTCAATTCATCTCCTGCTTGAACTTAGTTTGGCTCAGCATTGAATTGTGGTCAAGCAAAACAAAACAAGTTTAATAGACTGTAAAAAGTATTTTTAAAACCAAAAAGGAGATGTTCCCACACTCTGTACTCATGCCAGGCCTTGCAAGAGTATTCATAAACCTCTGTACCTTTTTCAATTTTACTTAATTTTATTTTTATTTTTAACATTTTTTAAGTGGTAGATCAAAACTAAGTGGTGTTCTAATGTTAAATAGAATAAAAATGAATGGCTTCAAAATTGTTTGCACAAATAACAGACATTTGTATTTTGGCCCACTGAATCAAAACTTTCTTGAACCACAGTTTTTATTACTATTACAGCTGCAAGTAAAATATGTTTAATCAAAGGTGGGTAAAATAATCTTGATAAGTTGTGAGTTTGGTCTGCTTGTATCTATTTTGACATATTATGAAATAGTGGATTGAGTATTGATCTGTTATGAGCTTGGTTTAATTTCTTGGTCTTCATGATGGGGTTTGTTAACAAATGCTAAAGAAACGGACATCAACAACAGTAACACATGGAGACTTCAGGTCTTTACCATAGAGTCAAGCATACAACCAAATATGGGTGTATTCGCCCCTTCCAGGTGTCTTGCACACACTCTTCAACTTACACCACTTGTTCTCAGGTGGTGAAAACTCACTATCGTACTGAAACCCTTGACCAGTGTTAATTGTATGATTTTAAGAAATTGGCTGTGTCAATTAATTATTAACTCAACTAAGGCACCTGATCCCTAAAAACAACATACCCCTTTACCCGTTTAGTTTCCACTAACCCTAACCACGGAAAAAAACTTACCGGTAACTAGACCAGAAAAACAAGAAAAAAATTACCATTGAAAAGTGATCAGCTCTTTAACAATGGCCATAGTTAAAAAAGCTGTCATCTAAAGTATATTTTTGCTTTTGCCCCTGTTTAACTCTATCTCTTCTTTTAATTTTTTTTAGCCATTAGATATGCAATTTACTTCTGAAAAAAGTTTTAATTTATTCTGTTATTTTTAGGCTACAACTTTTATTTGATTGTTTCACAATAAACATGTCTACATTTATTTATGTTAACTGCATGTTTGTCTATTTTCCCTATTCGTTGTACATATAAATTGCTACTTGGTGAGTAAGCATGTTCTGATGCTGATATGTCTGATTCAAGATTGGTGACTTTTTTCCCATATTTTCCAAACCGTAAGTGAAAGAAAGATTAAATTCTCAACCATAAAAACAGGAATAGACCCCACTTCTAACCTTTAACATCCTTCCTCTATGTGGCCTTCACTGAGCAGCTGGATTTCTAGTAAAAACAAACTGTAGATGGATGAACTTCACTGATTGTTTCTGGGAGGCAGTTGGTTGATTTTATTTAGGTGTATGTATATAAAGGGTTCTGAGTGCAAATGCCCAACAAGTTTTTAGGTTTTTATTCACAAAAAAACACATGCATCGTTTTCCTTCCACAGCACAATTTTAAGCATTGCTATGAGTCTCTCCTATGGTGGTGAAATTTGAAACAGTTCAAGGGGCATAGTTTGGAAGCATGCTTTCTTGAGGAAGTAACTGTCCTTTCGTTGAAAATGTTAGTGTGTTTGCAAATCAAAGAATGTCGCTTGCAGGGCAGATTTGTTTTTAAACATAATAATTGTAATCAAAACAAATGGTTAAACCTCAGTGTTTAACCTCCTGAGGGCATGAATCAACACCTCAAACTAGACATGCCAAGTTTATGTCAAGTAGGATGGAGAAGATAAACATAGCATGACTGTTCTTGGTTAAAATCATATGCTTAATAACACATCTAACTAAGAAGCTTACAAATAAGCTGGTTTGACCAAGTTCAAAGATAATCTGTTGAGCACATTGCTTTGTGATCCTGTGTCTGAAAATAAAATAAAATAAAAAGTTTACTCTAGAACAGGCCTGGGAAAGGTTTTCACTAAGGGATGTCTTGATTTAACTACACAAACTGAAGGAAATATTCAGAACTGAAAAGTTAGGAAAGCATGCTGCGGCAGACAGGATCTTACACAAGCGATCAAGTTTCAAAAATACAATAAAAGTATTTTTCTTTGTTTTTCTTCCACGTAAATGTATAAATATTGCTTTGAGGGTTGACCTGTTTCGACATGGGTAGTTATTTGAAGAAGTATATATCTATTAATGAAACATTGGAAGATGCCCCCCCACCTTTTCTAATGATGTAAAGTTTGTAGGATTGTTTATTTTTCTTACACTCTCTGCACATTTCACACACTTTGTTGTTGACCACTGTAAATTACATATTTTTCTACTCTTTGCTTATTTATCATCTTCTTTGTGTATCTAAACTCAACTGACGAGACTTCCTACAGTCAATTTTTTCTTAAAAATCAGTAATAGATGGGCATGGATGCAGAGCTGCCTAAAGTCCCTGGGCCATAGTTTGACATGTAGGACCCAGATACTGTATTACCAGTACAGTATAGTATTAAGTTACACCACCAGCTAATATAATTCAGCTGTTCAGATGACATATATTGCCATAGGTGCTTCAAATCCAGTTCTACGGCATATGGACTTAACCTATTTTTTCACAAAATAGGTCACCTTAGGAAATCTTCAAATTTAGTCCTGTTCTGTCAAGTGAACAGTGATGCTAGTTAACTGCTAGATAGACAGGCTACGTGAGTAGTTTTGGCAATAGTGCTCTCAGATGTAGTTTGGGAGAACCTGACATTCTGTTAGCAGCAAAAACTTCTCCTAACAGGAAGACTTTCGCTAGATCTGTATCCTTAATATCCTCGACTGTAGATCTCAGTGGCTTCAGCTGATAACGAATAGCAGAGATTTCCCTTCACTAATCATTACAAGATTTTTGCAGAGCTTTGGTGGAGAGTGTGATAACACATTACATCACAGCAAGTTGCCCTGCAAAAAAAGTATTTTCCTAATTCCAGATTCTTTACATTCTCTCTAAACCTTTATATATTAGAAAAATACAGTATGACTAAATAAAAAAAAACAGCTCTCAAATAATGATATAA